AACTACTCAACATTTTTAAGCATGTTGCCCCCGACCTACCAGTCGATGGACGTACGCTTCTGGTGAGTACTCACTGATCGTTACGGGGGGGGTCACTTATTCCATTCTTGAGCCTCGCCAACAGCCACGCAACGGCTAGTAGTATAGGCAGATTAACAGTGCCGACAGAGACAACGGAGAATGGAGTGGTCAATTCTGGCTCATTAGCCTTCATCAGCCAGCCATAGCTCGGGTATAACTCGGGTGGTAGACCACACAGGCCTGGGCAATGACTGGTACAGGACGGCTAGCGAACCTGAACTAGCCATTTCAGTCTCCCCTGTCTTTGTCGGCAATATTCATTGAGAAGACTGTTGACGAGGTATTTATGCTGGAATTGTTGGTTTGCAGTTTAAAACGCGGACGAATTTCTGTGTATATTAACTTTTTCCGAGGTAATGTCACAAGGAAATTGAAGACTTTTGATAATTTCTTTAATTTACCTGAAGAAGAACGATTCAATGAAAGAACTTATTTTTCTCTTTATAATGGATTATTTTCCACATATGTGGATTAATTCATCGATTCGTTATAGGCTTGCGAATGCAAAAAACACGCCACATATTAGACCATTTTTGAATATTATTATTCTTCTGTCTGTTCCGTTTCTAAATAACACACTAGCGGAACGCATAGTTTACGAAATAAGCATATTTCTAGATGACTTACATTCAATAAGGCCGTCTTTACAGTACCTTGGCGGTAACATAAGCGGACACTTTGCTTAAACGCCAAGGTCAGCGATACGGTTTAAGCAAAATGCGACGAAAATTTTTTTGTCCCTGCATTTTGTGTGAAAAACTTCACAGGTTAGCTTAACATAATTTTTACACTTTAAATTGCTGCTTGTTTTTAAAAATAAATGCGATTCCTTAAACTTGGCTGCACTTCCATTTGAGCAACTTCAGACAAATTTTTCCAGTTCTGGAGGGGATCATTTTTCCATTTTTTCTACTTTTTCTGGAATTCTTCCATGGCGCAATGCATATTAAAAAGTTTTGTTCTGTCGTACCTTATAGCATAGGAAATGTCTTCGATATAAACTTACTCATTATTTAGCCAAAATTAGTGCCTACTTCGCTGCATAACTTTAACTAAGCGGGCAGTTTTCCAAACTAAAGCCTTTCTGATGATTAAATCGACTCAGTTGATAAAAATAACCTGTCTAAATACATGCTAAGCTGCCAAGTTAGATTTCATCATGAAAGTTGCACGCAGGGCTTGCAATACTGTATATTGAGAACGTGTCTGAACTCGTTAAAAGACACAGGAGAAAGCACCAAATCACAGTGGCGCACAAACCAACACCCGATCCCGTCTTCGGTCTTCTTGACCCCGTAGAAGAGGTGGACAGAATATCATAGATGCTGCACAAGTAAGATAAACTAAATTGTGCGCAATTCATCGTCCTTTCGCTTACCCTATCATGGACCACACAACAGACAAAGTCGATCACAACGGTCGAACTATCGAGCTACTCGGCCTGTCCACGAGTTCCCGCGGGGCGACCACAAAGTCATTGTCCACGCCCTCCACGCTGAAAACCGAATAGCGCAAACAGTACTACTTTCTGTCCCAAGGACAGCAATCGCATATCGTGAACAGCGTTCTCTGAGGGCGTGAGTCTCTCATTTTCAAACGCTGCGCGAACATACTATTGATTTACGCCGGCTGACTGCGCGACCGAATATGCCTGGGCGGTACCAAATCCGGAGAAAAAAAGGAACGGTTAGACATGGAAACCCTAACCTGTAAGTAGAATTTCGAAAGTGCGTCCTGGCAGTT